TGATCTGAAAGCAAAACCTGCATTTATTACTCATGTCCACACAAACGGGATGCGATCAGAGGAGTTTCACAGCTGCCTGAGCCAGACGGCACCACTGAGGAGTCTTCAGCTGAATACAGAAACAACAACTAGCAGTTATTGTAACTATTCACAGGAAGGACAAAGAAGGAACATGTGGAGACAAACAGACGAACTGCCCTTAAAGCTCCCATCTTTCAGTTTAAAATCCCAGTAGATTCCCTGTATCAAAAAAGTACCAGTAATACTTTCTTTAGCTTAGCTTCATTTACTGCATTCATCATTAAGCTCTGAGTTGATCAAAATGTTTAAATGACTCACTTGCCTCTCCTATAATTATGACTGTGAGCTCGCAGCAATTAAGATTTATGAGGCTTAGCGAGTCCTTTGTGGGTTTGATTGTTGGAGACGAATGCATCGACACATACAGTATGTCTCGAGGTTGAAGAAGCAGCACAACAGTTTTTTTGTTTTTCAGTTAATATAGATTTTTTGGAAAGATGTCGAGAGCCGATCATAAGCATTGTATCAGTGGCAATCCAGGAATACATTAACAAATCAGTAATTTATCAAAATCTTTTCTTCAATTAACTCTACTTTAGCCACGTTTCCATCCAAAGTACCCAAAACGTTTAGTTACAGGAATGATTTTGCATGTGTGTTTGTTGTGTGAGTTTTGAAAAGAATAGGCAAAGTAGTCGGCTGACGTGGAAAAATCTGATGTGCCAAAGCCATCAACATATAAAAGATGGACATCGCCATTCAGAGATTACGCAGTCGTCATCAGGGTTGGCACCATGGTATCGAGATCCCGCCCATACACCCTGCTGAGCTGGCCTCAGCTATCAATAATGATGTGAATCCCCCTTTTTATGGCTTCAAATAACTAACATTTGAACAAACATCAGCGTGATAAGAACTACCTAAAATGACAGAAACCTTCTTTGGGATAAATGTGTTTGAAGGGTACGTTTACAATTTAGTTTGTCCCATCTGCTAACATGGATGCAGCGGACTTTATGACCTATACAGCAAATGAACAAAACACTAACATGGGTTTGGGTGCAGATTTTTAAAAACAGTAATCGACTAATCAGGACAAAACATCGCTCGAAAACTCACAGAGTTCCTCGAAAGGTTCCTGGTCCCTGAGGAAAGTTCATGATGACAGAACATAATGAAACTTGTCTTAAGATCCTCTCCAGTCAGCTTTTGTTGGTAAAACTGGGTAGAAACAGAGAGCTGTAAAAAACACAGCATCGCAGAACCAATCCAAAGAAGACATGTCCTTGAAGTGTTTGTTAGCGGCAGTAGAGGCAAGAAATCCTCAGGCAATCGGTAGACACTGAGGTCTGGTATCGTAAGACTAGTTTTCACTTTGCATTTGGGACAGAAAACAGGCCATAAAACAGTCACATAAAAGCACTGTTGGTCCAGTAATCAGATATTTTATTTCATTTTTAGTACCACAGTCCTTGACAAGCTGATTGGCTTAAAAATACTTTTGTTGAACACGTGGAGTGTAAACCTCAAATCAAAGCCCCACTTCAAATAAGGACTTTTATTTTTAGGCTGAATTTAAAGGCCAGTAATTAAAGCACCCTGTGATATTTTCCCATTTAAAAAACACTTGATAATAATGGCAGTGAGCATTTTCAGCTACATGAAATTAAAAGCTAGCTCAGAGCTGAAATAGCCCCTTAATGCAGATGTCTAAATCTGACCCAGAGTCAGCCGTTTTCAACAGATTTCACTTCCATAGTGCTAAAAATAGCTTGAAACATATTCAAATATACTCTGCAGGTTGTGTGTGTGTGTGTGTGTGTGTGTGTGTGTGTGTTGCAATGTCTCATCAAAGTTAACTGATGTTCGTCAAAGCTAGATTAAAACTAACTATCAGTCACTTCAGACTTTGCCAACACAAACAACACCTGATCCTGATTCCTCAGATTCTGGTTTCAGTCCAAGAGAGTCCGACTCACTGAGAACCTCATTAACTGCACGCTCTGCAGCATCTGATGAGACTGTTTGTTGTTCTCTCAGACTTCAGAAAGATGCCATATTTCTTTCTAATGTGACTGTAATTACAACAGAGGGCTAGCAGGTGTGTGTGTGTGTGTGTGTGTGTGTGTGTATGTGGGTCCAGTATTGTTCACATCTCAGGATTTTGTCCTCAAATCTGCTTCCAGGTAATGCTCTCTCTGAAGTTTTTGCAATGAATCACATCAGGACAATGATAAATAAATAATCAAATAAACAATTAAAGGTCCAGTGTGTAACATTTACGAGGATCTATTGGCAGAAATTGAATAGAATAGTCAAAGGTATGTTTTCCTTAGTGTGTAATCATCTAAAAATAAAAATTGTGTGTTGTTTTCCTTACCTTAGAAAATAAAGTTAAAAACATTAGAGTTGCCTAGAAAAAGTGAATATCAAGTAGTTTTTTTGCTTGTAATGCAGAGCCCTACTAAGCACAGAGACTGGAATCACCGGGACCGGGAGACTGCTAGCCTAACAGCATTACAACAGACTAAATACATCTCACTCCCAAAGAGTCGAGTTAAGTGTCAGACTCCCAATGAAAGAACACATTTATGTTGATTTTTATTAAGAATGTTCCTCAACACAGACACACAGGAGACTCCTGGATAGTTCAGTGACATTATAGCACAACAAGGGTTGTCAGGAGAACCACAACCATGTTACTACCAACAGTTTCCTGCTTCAACAGTAAGCAACCTCATCTCTCTGCCAGACCGACTGATCTATTTTTCAGCAAAGCCCTGACGAAGCTAAAATTAAAAAGCAGCCTGACAGGATGGATGCTTTACTTCTTCATATCTTAAAAAAAAAAAACCTTCTCTCAGCTGGAGTTTGGGGACAAACTGTCAAAACTGAGCGCCAGCAGTTTTGAAGATAACAGGCGAAAGGGCGACCTGCTGCTCGATTACAGTCCTCGCTTGCTCTGAGCTCATGAATCTGTCCCTGTTTGCTCTCAAATCTGGATTTACTGACTGATTACTGCTCAATAGTTTTGTCGTTAATGAATTTCCATGAAGTCACTGGAGCTGTTTGTGTCAAATGTATAACTGAGCAGTGCAGTATTCAGCAGTATTCAGATCCTTTACTTGAGTACTAATACCACACTGTAAAGACAAGTAAGTAAAAGTCCTGCAACCTGTAGTCAAAGTATTAAACTTTGACTCTTAACTTAATGCAAAAGCAGGATTTTACTGTTGTTGTTGGTTGAGGTAAAGCTCAGTTTGAACTATTTTGTATCACAACTAATGATTATTTTCTCCATTAATCCATTGATTGATTGCTTTGTAAAAAGTCTAAAAGCGGTGAGAAATGCCGTCACAATTACCCAGAGTCCAAAGGGACACCATCAAAATGCCTGTTTGTTTTAAAAGAGTCTAAAGCTCAATATTATTACAAATTCTTTGAAATTATTATTAATTTCAAAGGAAAAGTAGCAAATCTTCACATTTGTGAAGCTGAAATACAATTTAATAATTGTCAAAATAGTTATTATTCAAACAATGGTTTAAAATGTAAATATAAAACCATATTTTATACTCTCATATGTTTTGTGTCCAAAAAATATTTTTTTAAAGTAACTGTCAGACTGGAGTAGAAGTAGACAGTGAAAACATTAGTACAAGTTCCTACATTTTATACTACAGAACTTGAGGAAATGTGTTTAGTTACGTTCCACCTCTGGTTGTGTTGGTGCAGTGTGTGCAGAGGTCACAGAGTTCAGCTCTGCAGGGGATTCCTGGTAAATGATTGATGGCTGTGAGTTAATAGAATATGGATCGCTGAACGCTGATATGTGTCCTCGCCAGCTGCAGTTTGTGTCTGACAGCAGAGTCAAGTTATCGTCCGCTAACCTTCATCATCCTCCTCGAACTTCAACTCACAATTCACATCAGTTTCAACTCTCGTCACACACGATGTTACATAACTGACTGCTCCTTTTCCTTTCACTTCATAACACTTTCTTAGTAAACAGAACTAGACTTGCAGAATAACATCTGCATCCTCTGTCCTGTTGATGTGTCCTTGACCTCTGACCCCTCTGATGAAACGCAGTCATGCCTCAGTCTTTGATCCTTCAAGTTATTTTGTGTGTTGGTGTCTTTGTGAGTAGCTGTCCTGCTGTTGGGGAAGTTTGTAGGAAATGCATGCAGCCTGTAAGGGATACCTACAGACACAGGAAATGTCTTGACAATACAGGACAGGATTTGCTAACAGACGGTCATATAATTTAGTGGTAGACCTCGTATTGATACCTTTAGTTTGATTGATTACATTCATGATGTTGGCCATAGCCGATAAGTAACAGTTCAAATAAAGTGGAATTTATTTCATTTAACATAAAATTAATCTTCTCACCTATTGTTTTATTATTAGTTTATTAAAAGAAGAAGTAGAAAGTGTTTGTTGCGCATGCAATTAACATCTCTATGTATGTATTTATTAACCACAACAAGAAATGTTTCCACTGGGCTTTCATGAGAATTCTGCTCGCAGCTTTGGGACAAATGGCAAAAACATCGCTGCAAGTTTGTTCCACATCTGCAACCTGCTTTCATTCCACGCAGCTCCTACCAACAGTCGAGTTTCAAACAAAATAGTTAGGCAATCTGATCTGATCTGTATAAAATACATTTAAAATGTTCCAGCACAACATAGATTATTTCCAGGATCATTCCATGACTGGAAAACTAGTCTCTAAATGTCCAGGTTTTCCAGGAGGTGTGGGATACACTGAGGACTGTCTCTGCTCAGAAACTGTAAAATCTAACCAACATCCTCGAGTGAATCCTGACTTGTTTCCAAGCTTATGGGAACCTTTCCTTAATAAAAACAGTTCACAGCTCCTCTCTGCTGCTTCTGAATCCTCAGCATCAGGTTTGCAGTTTGTCCTGCGAGCAGCGGTCACATTGAGCCTTAATTAACTTTTGATTGTGTTTGATTTCCAGTGCCACAAACAGTACGTCCCTGTGTGCGGCTCAAACGGAGACACCTACCAGAACGAGTGCTACAGGCGACAGGCGTCCTGCAAACAGCAGAGACTCATCTCCCGGGTGTCCGACGGGCCCTGCTCCGCCGGTGAGTCTGCCAGGAAATACACAGCATCAACGCAATGGAAACCTGAAATAACACTGATTGATTGGTGGGAGGAGGGGGTCATCACAAAGTGAATTACAGCTCTTCATTTATTGAAATCGACCAGTGGAAGAGTGTGTGAGGACATTAGTCAGTGTCTGTAAAGGATTCAGTCATTTAAAATGTTCTTAAAGTGTCTTCTGAGGACATAATTCACCTGCTGCCTCATAAAAAGAGACGTAACTTGTCTTCATTTGTTCCGAAGGGCAGGATTCTCTTTTATCAAATGATAAGCAAGGTAATTATGAAGTGAAACTCACTTCACTTCTGATCGGGCACTAATCAGATGAATGCACACTTCATTAAAGGGTCAGCTCACTGAAATTACCAAATACTGAATTGGAGGAAAAAAGATGCCAGCAGTATTCGTAAGTTTTCTGTTGGTTCGTTTGCTTTCACATCTCAAATGATCCGCACCAAAGTCCTCTGGGAAGCTTGTTTTTTCACAAATCTGACTGTAATTGCAGTGATATGCTGTTCACGTATTGCCAAACAGACCGCATCAACTACTACAGGTGCGTGCCAGCTCAATTCAAACAGCATGTAGATCTGCTTTTACCCAAATACAACAGAGGTGAATGGGACACTACTGCCACCTGTATATGTTGGATAATTATTACAAAGGATTATTTAACCATAAATGCAGATCTATTGTTACCACAAGCCTGTGCAGCTCTGGGAGACGTGCTGCAGTGTGACACTTCCTAGCTGTGCTGGGGGCGGCGCTTCATGCACATCACATCACATGGCGCTGCAGTGGTGTTTTAGCCTTGAGACTCTACTACACTAGCTTTACATAATTCACTCTTCAAAAACGTCCTTATTTATCTGATACTGGCCCTTAATGCAGCCCCTCAGTTCAAAAACCAGAAAACATTTTCTTCATAAATATGATACAGTTTCACCAAAATCATTGATATAGTTGGTGGTGTTTGACTTGGTGCCGTAAACTATTACGTTACTTGTCCAGGCCCAAGGCTAAAAGTCACATAGTGCAAGAACAAGAATACAGAGGAACTATTCACCTTGTAACAACTCAGTGTATCATGAAAATGATTATTAATTAATTACTTTAAGGTAGAAAGTTCCATAATGTTGCTTTAATTTTTCCTTAAAATAACCATATGTGGCATGCACTGAAATAGAGTGAAAACCCGGTTAGCATTACAGAAAAGTTTCTCAAAACAAATATAATGAAAATCCTTTTGAGATGTTGAACTGAACAGACGGACTGATGGTAATAATTTAAACTGCTGCTTCATTGGGGCTCACTCACGATAAGATCAGCTGATCGCTCTATAATGGGACTGTAAGTGCCTCGCTAATATTTTTAATTACGCTTTCGGCCATGCTGCAGCGCTTTAAGTTCCCTGTCGTTATGTTTTTAATTGACTGAACATCAAGCACTGAGCACTCGTCCTCGATTTTTCCTCTGAACTCTGGAGAACGTCATCAGTCAGATTGATTTCAGAGAACGACCTGTTTAATCAACCGCAAATCAATTTTAATTAGGAGCCGTTGATTAGAGCCGTTAAAATCCTCCCAAAGCAGAGTGGTTCCCAAACCGAAGTCCAGGGACCTTCCAGGGGTCCTACAGAGGTTGGGGGAGTACAGTGAAATAAGGATTAGTTTGATTTCACTCTGAGGCCTCAGGTTCAAACATTTCAAAGATCACTGAAACTTTTATTCACAGTAAACATCAGCTTTGAAGCTTCAGTTTACAGATCTCTCCTGTGTTTTTACTGCATACATGAATTGAATATGAGAGATGAGAGGTTATATCTTTCTGACAGACACAACAGAGGAGTCGGGTCGAAGACAAACCAGTGACTCAAAGAAAAGAAATTAAGCGAAAGCAAAAAAAAAGTATGTTTGCAGAAGAAATCACATAAGTGATCTAAATGTATTTACGCCCACTGTAGTAACGTTGTTAAGGATCCAGCTGATCACTAATCAAATTTCTCTCCTATCGTAAACCTTAATTTTAGCTTAATTTATTTTAAATAGGGCATGCTTGTCTCCGACACCTCCATTGGGTAATGATTGATAATGACTGAACCTCAACCATAGTGGTCAAAGCTTCTGGTTCTAAAAAGTGAGGCTGTGTTCTTTCTAATGAACAGCAGGGGGCATCTCCAAAATACTGACATCGGTACTCCACAAACCAATGGGTGATGTCACAACGGATTTACACCAAGAGTGGACCTACCGTGACATCACCCATTGGTTTGTGGAGTACCGTTTTGATTAGGGGTGTAACTCATGAGATTGAAGACAAATTATGACTGAAAAAGGTTTCCTCAGACAAAAATCTACGTAAGTCTTTGCGCCTTGATATCATGATTCTTTTGTGATCTCACAGATTTGAATCTTTACATACTTGTATGTATACTTTGTACCTGAGTTTGGTGCATTGAGCTCACTGAGAATGAGCTGTCAA